GAGTTTTTCGGTGAAATCATAAGTTAAAACGAGGCCCTACATGGTTTGGTAAAATAATCTGAAGAAACTGGATGTACAAGTGACTGACCGCGATTTGGATGACCATGTATTCTTGTTGAAGTTGTTGCGGAAATGCATAACACTATTACTGCATACTGCAAGAAGTTGTCCGTAGCTTGAATGCAGCGGAAACCACAGTTCTCAGACACTCTGTTCTGTGAATGTTTCCCTATCGATTCCAGCACGTTCAGATGTTGCAACCTGAAAACGAGTAATAGCGTGTCGAATGTGTGATTTCTTTCATCAGCTACAATGAAGATAGAGGTGGCTGCTGTGGATATTATGGACGGATGAGGAGCATTTTTCCTGCACTGGGAACGTAAACTCCGAGAACTACTTCTACTGAGCTGCTGAGAATCCTCACGATGTGGCACCAGCGTCTTTACACGTAGCTAAAGGGACAGTGTGGTGCAGCATCGTAAGCATATTCGTTCTTATTCCGTATTTCTTCGAAGAAGTCACTTCCGCAGGTATGGAAACATGCTTCATCACAAGTGCTCAGTATAACACAATGTTGCAGAATTGCTTAATTCTAGAACTGCTGAAGCAAAATGTTGTTAATGACATTAATATCGTTGATAAATTTAAAATTGTCTCATAAATGTGTTAACGTTACTTCAACACCTGAATGACACATTTTAGCAGGATGAAGATGAAAGAGGCCAAGGAGGTTTGGCTCTTACTTGCGAACGGGCTGGCTGCATGGGTGTTTTCATGGTTTTCCCCATGTGTAACGTGTATACGAGCCAGTTTCCCTTAGAAAGTCCTCCATGAAGGCATTCCTTCCATTAGGTAGATAGCCCTCGAGTCTTTGCCGTAATTAAATAACCTAACCTAACCTCACTTACTTAAGAACTGTAGACGACCCTTCAAACAAAGTCATTGTCATGAAGTTCAGGATTTAAATTAAATATGTGTGAACCCTTGTCGACAGTAACTTTAGGAAAAAAAAAAAAAAAAAAAAATCTGGGTAACGCTTGTACTGTTATGTTTGAATTGAGTAGCTTTAATCCGGAAACACAAAGCGATATACACACTGATGGAGAAAGCAGTGTACACTCTGATAACCAAACTAAAAATTTCCCAAATTTTAATAATAATTTTTAATTCACTGTGAAAAAAAAAAGAACGCACTATATCTGATCAGATTAACATTTATTATTGACTTTTCTATTGTTGAGTATTAATGGATACATCTGAAACTGGAGGCAGCTACTTTGTGTTCCTAAAAAATTAAGCAAATAATACTGCTTTCAAGCGACAAGATTGTTGAAATGGCGCGAAATAATAATGAAACTAAATTCCCGAAACATTTCTTATTCACTCAAATGCAAAAGTTAAAACTGGACTGAACAGGAAAAACAGTAGTTGTCACGTAATGGTAAACATTGGCATAACACTATTAATATGTGCCTCTTATCATGGTATCATTTAACCACTCATCAGAACAATTAAAAGAAAGAAATACGAGTATATACACATGTTATCACTAACTATTTCACGAACAGCTGTTAGCCAAAAAACAACCAAAACATTTTAAAAATAATATATGGAATGTGAATGATTTTGGTATAATTTCTGAACTTGTTCTCAAGACCATTTATAGCAAAAAAATGGACAATAATAAATTTTGCACACACAAAATATTGCTTCTGGGAAAAAAACCTATTAGAATCGCTTGTAAGTTCAAAATTTACATCATTAAAGCTTCCCTTTTGTATTTAGAAATTCTTTTTTTTTATATGTAGATCATACAACCTTATTGCATTACTCAATGTAACATGAAAAGAAATAATACTTAAATATTAATAAATAAATGATAATACCTAAAAATTAATAAAGACTCATTTTTCTAAAGCCCAAATTTGTAAATTGATAGAATTAAAAAAATCTCCAAGGTTTATTTTCATTTACTTATTTCAACGTTAAAAATATTGAGCAAACATGAACTATAACTTCAAAGACCTTTAAACTGATGATACGGAACGTCAAAGCTGTATGTAAGGAACTGTAGGGAACATGAGTTTGTTCCTTACAGAAAAGTGCAGATCGAAATTCATAAAATAACTGCCACTTTTTCTCATTTTCTTAAGCCTAATTTCTCCTGGCTAGACATTTGATCGCCTCGCATGGCGACAGTATTACGATTACACCTGTGAGACAGCGCCATTAAAAAGTCAACTTTCTAAACTGTAGAATAATACACTACAATATTAACCAGAGTATTTTTATTGCTTTTATCTGTGAGATATAGGCGAACATTTCTACCATCATTATCGATGTGCCGCATTGCTATTTTCATGCAAGTTCTTTTCCAGGTTTTTTTTTTTTAAAGGGGGGGGGATGTTTCTTTTTGTGTAAGCAGTCATTTTCTCCACTTTTTTAGTCAACAAATAGCAACAATGCTACATTAAAATCACAACTCATCAATCTCACATCTTTACGATGATTCTGATATGCAATCGCTGAAGCTGTAAAACTTGTTGCTGCATGTTCAACATCGTCTTTGCTAACGACGTAAGTTAGGAATATTATTTTAAATTAAAGCAAAATTTTTCTCTCTCTAACATACAGCAACACACTACATTTATTTCAAACATGTGGCTACACTGCTAACACACTGTGCAAAGCAAGTCCAACAATATCAAACATTTAGATAAATCATTTGATTATTCTTCTGTCCCTTTGAGTAGATATACAGGTTTCCCCAATTTACGAAACTACATATCCAGATAAAACAGACATCATTAATTTATTCAGAAAATTGTTTTTAACATTAATATACCTAAAAAATCAAATCATACCAAACAACACAAAAATCAATTAAATGAAGCAATCTATTTAAACAGAACTAACGTACGTACAATATATAGCAGAACCTCAATTATTCGAGGCAATTGGGGTCGTAATCACACCAGATAATCAAAAACTTGAATTGCCAATTTGTATTTGGACAAAAAGTGAAACTGTTCTATTTGAAAATCTAAAATCAAGTGTGCAACTACTATTAACATTTTTAAAAACTCTTTTGTTAGTAGATAAAATTTGTTTCCTTCAATTAAACAGATAATTTATTCAAGATTTAATTTCATGAAAAAACTGAAATAAGCAAGTTCTATCATAGTTTACGCAGATTGGGAATTTTAACCTAACTTCTTACATGCATTTTAATAATGCATCAATTGTTTTGAAAAAGTTTGTTACACTTTTCTGTGGAGAAGCGTCAGGTTGTTTATCTAAATATTAAACAACGTTGTTGAAGGTTTCAGTGGCTGAGCGGTAAAATTGCTAAACACTTGTAGCTCGGCATGGGCTTAAATCCCAGCGAATGGGCTGGCTACTTGCAGGTCCAGCACCAAAGCTGGTGTTGCCACACCTGGCATCAGAAGTTAATTGTGGCAAAATCTTAAGAATTTAGAAACTGGGCGACAGAATTTAGGAGGGCATAAAGCTTGCACTGAATAGCTAAAAACTCGGCTCTAAGAGAATCGAATTTGTATAGTTTTCATAATGTGTAAAATGAATCGGAGCCCTTAAAAAGTCGCCCAAGAAGGCATCCCTTTATTTAGGCAGATAGCTCACGCAGCTTTGTCAAAATCAAAATAAACCACAGCTAATTTTCAAATTGTCTATTTCATGATCAGCTTCGGCATCACTCTCAGCAATGTACTTTTTATTGTTCTCCCCGGGATTTAAGGTACGAAGGATGTTTTCGTCACTCAAACCCCAAAAACATGTTTCGCTTTTCCTTTACTTATCCATTCCAAAATATCATCTTCAGCGATGTCTTCCCATGCTTTCATTCTCTGAAAAGTCTACGAACACATTGTCATTTACTGTAGATGTCATCTATAATACATGTAACCGCATCTTTTATTGCATTGCACAAAAGTTGGGCCATCAAATGACCTATCATTGAAAACAAATACCAAAAGATAAGTCACTGACAAAATTTGTAAATGTTCCTGATTTTCCCTGTACCCTTTCTAACGTTACTACATTTTTTCAATTATTATTTTTTTTTAAACTGAATGCCGGCTCGGTTAGCAGAGGTTCTAGTATACTTATTCTTTTCATCTCATTAGAAGATAACAAGGGCACTGGAGAGAGACAGCTGCAGTCACATGATGTTCTAAATTGGTTCGCGTAAGCTTCAACCGACAGATAAAGTGGGATAAGATAAGGATCATGCATAAGTTTATCTTCATCATTTGTATCAAGTCACTGTGTCTACTTTTCTTAAGTCTGCCTCAATGTCAGAAGCCCAGGTTTCCTATCTGCATTAAAGCAGAAAGTACTAAAAATTGCAATATACATCACAGAACAAATGACTTCACTGCAAAAATAATTTAGGGCGTAAAACACCAATTCCCATCTGAAAACAGTTGTTCAGATCAATCCATTAAAAACATATCACAAACTGATGTAAAATGAGTGTATCTATGATTCAAAATGTTCTCTGTATTATTATATAAAAGTAAATTTATATTTTACAGAATTTAAAATTATATGATACATTTTTCATATGCAAGTTATACATTTCCTGCAAAACATTTTTGAGCAACTGAAGGGGGGATATCTAATCTGGCTGATGCAAAAGCTCTGAAACACAGCTGTGACTGATTTTTAAACTGACATGTTTTTTCTATCATACAGTTCTTTGTAAGCAATAAAAATATCTTGCAAAATTAGCCAAAACCAAAATGACATATTTCTTATATATGTATAATTCAAACACACATTTTTAGTATCCATGCATAAAACACACAATGAAAGCCATATATTATTAATATTATTGTAAAAGCAAAATGTTTTTGTAGATTTGTTTTTATAATAGAAAAACATTGTTTCCCGTCTTTCATAAATTTAAAGAGATTTCGTAAAGCAAGGAATACCTTTATGCATTATTTTCAGTGGAAAAATGCAACAAGAAACACATATTAAATTGACTTTTTTATTTTTTTATTTTTCATTAAATTATACTGATATCATCTCATTTCACAAAATGAAGGGCAAAATGTCACATTAAATTTTACATAATATTAGAAAAAGAACAAATCAACTAAAAATAAATCATGAAATGCAACATTATAAGATATTTTATACACGTTGGAAACATTTTTATACAGAGACAACAAACAGATACTGTGTTGAATTTGTCTTTGAATTTTTTGGGGGTTGAAGATGACATTTTAAATATTTAAATAATGGGATGGAATATTAATCCATACAGCTCATTATCTGGACAAATAAAACTTTTTGTCAGGCAGCATAACATAACCACATTGAATTACAATACATATACTATAGCCTTGAAGATATTTCCTGTCACATTCAAAACTTAGCATATGGTACAAAAACTTCCCTATTGAATACAAGCTGCATTCGTGTAGATTTGTGCGAGCATGTTCACAATGTACAAAGCAATAAACAAATATTGAAAAATTAACTCTACAAATGATGTTCGTAATACCAGTCAGTCCTTCAAAAAACAAAACAGTGTTCAACATTAGAAATTAATCCTATGACCACAGTTACAAAATTTATAAAATTTGGGGAGGGGATCATAGCTTTTCTTCCTAACAAACTGACCGCAGTTGAAATCTGTTTCTGTCAATGCGATAGCAATGTTCCCTACATATATATATTCAGGCTAAAAGTATTTACAGATCTTGCATTTGGAGTGTAAAGACAGAACGATAAACATCTGATAAAATACTAAAATTTTGATGAGTTCCAGAGCTCTCATTTGCAGATGTGAGATGCCATGAACTTAAATCTCATTTCAGTAGATAAAATCTTTGCAATGGCTTTGAAAATTTGGCAGCTTATACTAAAAATGATTGCACTAATATGTAAATATCATTTGCAGGTTATCTTTTACTCGAGATTCTGTGTGATACATTCTGTTTGCCTTTCTCTGGAGATTTATAGTTTCTTTCTTCCCTCCTTCACACATTAAATGTTTTATTTTCTTTAAACTTAAATCATTTTTTAGAAACTTATGTTAATGAATAAAAGAACTGTCTGGTTTTAGGATGCATATACACTGCAATCATTTAAAGCAATACTAACTTGTCCCCCCCCCAAATGCCCTATTAAAAATATGAACAATGTCAGTTACAAATATAAACAAAATTCAGATAGTAATGAAACTCCCTACGAAACTGAAAAGTTACCAGCAGTTACTTCGGTACTTTTCCATTAACGGGATGACAGCTGTAATTGTGCGCCAAAACACTAAATGTGGCAGCCTGTTTACATATGTTATGAGGGCCATGAATTGAAAGTGACTGTGGGGATCCATTCAGTGCAAATTTTGACTGCAACGATACAACAGGAGGAAGTAATTTCACTCTGACTGTTGGACAGTAGATGTAGTAGCAGCTGCCGGATAGGAACACCTGCGAGTTAATTATTGCCAATTTTACTGATCTCAATATGGATATCATACAGATACTGTTGGAAGGTTGTGGGGCAATGCAGAATGGCAAAATAAATATAAGCACGGCACTGTCCCACTGTCCGCCACCACCCAGATTCTATTTAATTGCATTCATATTGGCACTGTCCCACTGTCCGCCACCACCTAGATTCTACTTAATTGCATTCGTATTGTGTCGACTGCATGAGATAAAAAATCTCTGCACTAATGTTAAACGAAATCAGCAGCCTTATGCCTTCACTGTAATCTGAGATTAATCTGGTAAAATCAGTTTCATATTTTTGTGAATTTTTTCATCTGTCTTTATTTATTTTGGACTTAGTAAAACAGTAATTCTTTTCATTAAGCTGTTTGTAGCATTAAAGTTGCCATCTAGTTAGATTTTGCACCAACATTTACGTCTGGTGCCAAGTAACACTCTGTTAACTAGGAAGTACCATTATAAGACTTTACTACCCAGATAACAAAAGCTGTAATAATTACTTTTTACACCTGAAAATTCTAAATCAGAAGTCATACATTATAACCCTTTGCAATCCAATTTTTACAACAGATAAACATTTGTTAAGTTCAACTTATTTTCACATTAACAAACATAGTATAATGAATTAAATACATAAATGTTACAAAATTATTATAGAAATAGATAATGAATCAATATCAAATAGTGATGTAAAAGTAAAGACTTATTTTTAATTATAATTATTCAGAACAGAAAATGCTGCAACAAAATACACAGCTCCTTCAAAAAGATCAAATCTTACAAACAAATTTTAAAAGGCATTCCTATGCATTTGATAAAAAATTTATTTTGTATAAAAATATTACTCGTACATTTCTAAAAAAATCTACTTTTGTACTTTGAAGCCGAATCCTACAACATGTATAATCAAATTCCATTAGCAAATAAGCTGTAAAATTAATTTGCTAAATGATCAGCTTGAATTTTATTTAAATCTGACACATAGTGAAGGAAAAAGTATTCATACACTTGCATGATTTGAAAACAATTTAAAATCTTATAAAGAAATTTTAATTTAAATGTATGAATTTCTATTTAGATGAATGACATCATTCTTGAAAAATATTTTAACATTATTTAACACAATAAACTTTTCAGCCATCATCTTTATATCATTCTATAAATATATCTAAATCATCCACCATCGAAATTAATTCTATTATATACATGTTTGTGTGTATGTGAATGTATGCATACACACATACTTTGTATACATATGTATATATAATACATGCATACACACATATATATATGGTGTGTGTATTGCCCTCATATACACATACTCTGTATATGTGTGCATATATAATACATACACATACATATTGCTCTGATATATATATATATATATACATACACGAGGGTAATTCAGAAACTAATCTCTGCTGTGGCGTGGCGCTAGTAGGACTGAGTGAGGCTACTGGTACATTAAGCAATCTGTGATTCAGTAAGCCTCCTGCTATCCTCGTGAAAGTGTTATACTGCTGCATATGTGCTGGTTATAATATCACAAAATTTGTGCTGCTACTAAAATCCCACCAAATGCGAGATAAGAGGAGTAATACGATTTCTTTGGGCAAAAAAGCTGTCAGCAACAGACATTTATCAGCAACTGTGTATCATATATGGCCCGAACATTATGAGTGAAGATGTGCTGTGTCAATGGTGAGATTTTTCAAAGAAGGGGAAAAAAAACATTCATGATGAATCAAGGCGTGGGAAGGCATCTGTAGTGAATGATGATCTTGTCAAACAAATTGATGACAAAAATCTGTCAGATCCGTGGATTCACAATCTCGGAACTTTCAAAACTATTCCTGAACATTTCCCAGACTGTTTTGTACAAGGTAGTCACAAAAAAATTAGGCTACCGGAAGTTCTGTGCTCGATGGGCACTGAAGCTTCTCACAGAAATTCACAAAAGCAATTGAATGGGCACTACCTCACTTTCTTTTCTGGTACCACATAGAAAGCGAGGAGTTTTTGAACAGAAAAGAGACTGCTGATGAGACTTGGGCAGTGCATGTGAATGCTGAGACAAAACAACAGACAGTGGCATGAGATCATACTGGTCTCCGACCCAGCTGAGGAAAGCACGTTGAACTCCAACAGCGAGGAAGTTTATGGTCACCGTATTTTGGGATGCTAATGGAATCTTGTTTGTGAAATTCATAGAGCAGTGTACAACGATCAATTCTAAAGTGTACTGTAACACTTTGAGAAAACTAAAAAGAGCAATCCAGAACAAATGTCACAGCCAGCTGATGTCTGGTTTTCTTTTCCTGCATGGTAATGCTTACCCTTACAGTGTTCAGTAAACACAAAATCTTTTGCACTAATTCAAATGGGACATATTTCAACATCCCCCACAGCATGGACTTGGCTCCTTCTGATTACCATCTGTTCTTAGCAATGAAGAAGTGGTTGGGACACCTCACTTCGCTGATGATAAGAAACTTGTGGCAAGTTGGTTGAACCACATTAAAAACCACTGTGGCAAGTTGGTTGAAGTCGCAAGCGGCTGAGTTTTGTGCAGAAGGGATTGGTAAGTTGGTAAAACACTATGACAAGTGCTTCAATAAATATGGTGATTATTTGAAAAATAGAGGACAACTGTATCTTTTACATATAAATAAAGCATAGTTGAATTTGTGCAGGTCTTTTAATTACAGCGAAACAGAGGTTAATTTTCAAATTGCCCTCATATAAAGTATTTATTTTTCACAAATACTTCACAGTAGCCATAGTTCAGCAATTGTTACTAATAACGATTCAAAGATATTATCATTGCCGATGTCAAACTTTTCATGAACTGCACTATGTAAGACCCCAGAATAATAAATATGCTGAAAATTTTACCAACAAAAAATTGCAAATTTAATAGCAACAAATCAAATGATCTCAAAATACATAAACCAAGCACAAATTACAAATTCTGTCATAAATCACTATTTCATAATTTTTGTGGTTGTTTATAACATTTGGCAATAAATAACATTTAAGACTGAACTGCACCAATGCCTTTTCTCTGTCTTACCAAGGCTGCTATAAAAGGAAGAAGAGTATCTACTTCCTATTAATATTCTTCCATTTCAAACAAGCGGCTGGATTTAATAGACAGTGATTTGTGTTTTTGAATTATGATGTCGGCTTTAAACTTATCTAGTAGGATAATAACTAACAATAAATCTAATAATGACCACCTAAAATAATAATTAAAAATTAATGCTAAAATTTAACTATGAAATTCTGAAAATAATTAAATTTTTTATTAGAAATATACAGTGCAGGATTTACACATAAGCTACACAAGCTATAGCTTAAGGCTCCTGCTTTCTTAGGGATCCCAAAAAAGGCCTCTAGTTATCTGAAAATCATATTTGGCACTGACGTATAATATTTGGACTTATAAAGGGCCCCATATTTCAAATAGCTTAGGGCCCAGAGGCGTAGCTAGGGTTTTCAGCGCCCAAGGACAACTGAAGATTTTGCGCCCCTTTCTGTGTACCGAGAACGGAAAACATTTCATTCTGCAATTTCATCACATCAATTTGGCATCCCTTGTATGCTGCGCCCAGGAACACATGTCCCCCCTTGTCCCATCCTAGCTATGCCACTGTTAGGTCCTTATCAAGCCTAAATTTGGCCCTGTAAACATATGTACCTGACGAAAATTTAAACTTTTAAAAATCAATTATAATCTTATTTTTCAACTTTACTTTCAATTTCATAAAACTGCTGGTAGCTTTTCTGATCAGCCTCTTTCAATTCAATAATTTTTCCTAGAATCTGCAGGGGTTTTCTAGATTTGATTGAAGTTGGCTTATTGGCACTTTCTTTTCTATCACTGTCACTGTGAGATTCAGTTACTGCTGCTCTGTGACTGTGATTTACAACAGTCATTTTTTCACAAATTGGTGTGAAAACATTTTTCAAAAATCAAGGGTGTCCAATCCATGGTCCGCATGCAGCCAAAAAACAAATATGAATGCAGTTATTACAACCCACCCTGATGATACATTTTACTTTTGCAGTCGATGTTCATAGCTGGCTTTCAACATGAACAGATGGGTTATTTGACACTCTTGAGTTGGAGAGAAATAAAATGCATTTTGAGTGGCAAAATATAGCAAGCCTAAATAAATGCGAACAATCATTTACATTTAAACAAACATAATCCTAAAAATGGGGAAAATGTGCAGCTTTACTTTTCATCCATTTATAGCTGACATAAATATACTCTACCCAGATATAAATATACCTGTACAGTCATGCATTACATATATCATCATTATTTGGCAGCACACACATTTGTGAACAACTATTTTCAACAGTGAAGCATATTAAGAGTAAAATTAGAATATTGGATGAGCACCTTGAAAACTTCCTGAGAATTGGAACCACTTCAATCGAACCAGACATTTATGCATTAGTTTCTCAAATACAAGGTCTAATATCCCATTTATTTTAAGATTTCCTGTTATCTTTGTAATTATAAATAAAATTTATAATGAAATTTTATGCACATAATGTCAAACACAAATTCAGAATAATTCTATATTGCTGTTATTATGGCAATAAAAAACATAAATTAATAAAATTTTAAATATTTAAATACATTTCTTTTTTTTTTTTTTTTTTTTTTTTTTTTTTTGGCTCATCAGTCATTGTTAGTGTTGGCAGTGGTGGCTAGCCATATGAATCATGTGAATCACTGATTCACTTAAAATGTAGTATACACTGAGCACATTTGAACTAACATGGCCAAATCCACAAATTTCTCTCTCCCACAGGTAAAATATAAAAATTTCTTTCAGCAGTCAAACCTGAAAATTTTCAAAGATATCTACACAACTGGGCGATTCATTTATTTTGGAGGTTCATGAGCTGCCACTGGTGTTAGAAATAATTTGTACAGCCACAAATATCTTGTCTTCTTTCTGCATGGCCCAGTGAAGCTAAATAGTTGAACACCTCTGGTCTATATATTATCATCAACTGCAACATATACTAAAAATGAATAGTCATAACTTTCCTCACAGATGTCTGAAACACTGACTATAAACTGCAGTTCCTCTGAGGCCTCTCATAGATGAAAACGAACATTTTTTAAAAGCAATTTTCAACAGTGTTTTGAGAGATTATTCCCCCATATATTTTTTGTAGTATGCATCGTCTCTTGCAAAGATATTGACATAAATATCCTCTTTGAAGCACCTACATTTTCTCAAGATTTAATTTTGTTTACCTTGTTTTGAATAACATTTGAAAACATTTACAATATCCTTCTCTAAAGGCTAGATGACAGAAATCGCATTTACAGGAAGAGACACTAATTTAGCGTGTTTCAGAATGAGATTAGGCGTGCATCTAAGATTAGGTGTAATTTTTTTTTTTTATTTTGCAGTTCACTGTCCCCTTTTAAAAGAGAAGTTGTAAAAGTACTTTTCATCCATGAGTTTGTACTGTTGAGTTCTTGATTTATTTCAAACATCAAATTTGTCTGCTTTTGCCAATACTCAGTGGTATCATCTTAATTGTTGCATGCAATACTACATATTAGTTACATATTAACTGATACCAGCTACTATTTCACTTTTAAAAATTAATTATCAGAGGAGCAGAACAGGGAGTTAATGCACAGAAAACAGATGTAAAAGGATATGATCCCAGATATCTGCAAGGGCAAAGTTTAGAAGATCAACTACCAAACTCTGCTGATAACTCAGATACAAGGGATGGTGAGCAAGGAACTAGAAGTGGGAGAGTGATTAGAAAGTCAGACAGGTATTTGGACTGATTTTAGAGTCTTAAAAAAAAGAAAAAATTTTTAACTCTTAAAAAAAAAAAAAAAAAAAAAAAAAAAAAATGCAATATTTAATAATTTGTAAATGATAACATTTAATATTTAGTAACTTGTAATTGACAACACTTTTGGAGATATAAAAATTAGAACTATGCTAGTATCACAGTTCTCTGTAATATAATACATTCTATAGTTATAAATAAATAGTTTATAAAAGGTAAAAGTGCACCCTCATTACTTTATACCACATACAGTGTAAAAGGCTCATTTTGGAATTCTAATAGAGAAAATACTGCTTATTCATGGCATTTTAGAAAACTTTGAAATTTCTGGGCCAAACCCGTAATGCTCAGAGGGTTAAATGCAAGTTCTCTTTGGCTGTACTTACCAACAGCATCATTATCTTTTAAAAATTTAGCCCTTTTTTTTTTCAAGTTTAAATCATTTTCCTCAGGTATTTTTGACATATCAAGTTACACACGTAACAGATTAAAAAATGCTTCTTCTGGTGATATGCTTAATTTTAAAACTCATGTTGCTAGCTTCCATTAAAAGACTGACACTGCACAATAATAATAGAAAAAATTTTATGAAGTTTTCTGAATACTCGCAAATATAATACATGTACTTCAATGGGAAAATTTTGAACTTTAATAGGATGTAAAAGTTTCATTTCCACCCCCTATCAGCTGTCATTTGAGAAGGTACACTCACTTATTTACAGTATTTTTAGAGATGCTTTTGATAATCTCAAGATAAGGAAATTCTGTCAACTCCAATCTGCACAAAAGTGTTTACAAACAATATCTAACAGGGACTGGGAAAATAAAACTACATTGACTAAAATTTCAGTCAAACCCATTTTACAGAAGCACTAAATACTTAAATAATAAACAAACCACATTCCTCAACAAGCTAAATGGGAGAGCTACAGGCAGCTTTAATAGGTACCAGTAGGTTATGCTAGCACTGAAGACTCAGTCTTTCACTAATTTGAGCTTTATAAGTAGCAAAGATGAGTTTAATAAACGGCAGTTTTCAGGCTGATTAGTATACATTTGTTTTAGCTTCTGAAACATAATAAGTTGATTTTATCAATTTTCTATTCCTAGTTTCAACTAAATGCAACACTATTCTAAAAACAGAAATGATTACACCAGTTCTTAGTTCAAACTGAGGAAATAAAGGCATTCAATAAGAATTTCTTTAAATATTTCTATATTTTAGAACTTTATCACAATTTCCAAAACCAAAATTTTGCAAATTTGAATTTTCTACAGTGAAAATAATGAAATTTGAATGGAGAAACAGATCAGTGTATTATTAAAACAATTCTCATATTAGTATAACAACTATAAAAACACACCTCAGCAAACTTCAAAGAAATTATTACATAAACATTATTAAGCCTTTATATTATTCAGATTATTAAGTATATGTTAATATAATTATATTATTACAAATAACAATATTTACTACTATTAAAAACACACAATCTGGACTGCAAGATCATGGGTGTTTATTTAATTTGTGTCATTAAAAACACACAATCTGGACTGCAAGATCATGGGTGTTTGTTTAATTTGTGTCATCAATATACAGCAAGCTGTATATTGATGAGCAGCTGAATAAGCAGCTGAATTGTTAAAGCCATGCAGCACTCTGGATTCCATTACCAGCAACTGAAAAAAGCTCCCTCTGGATTCCATTACCAGTAACTGAAAAAAGCTGACAAGCATGGGTTCTTGATGTTCTTCCAATATGCAAAGTAAATACAGGCCTTCCATAGAAAATTTTCCACTAAGATAACCTTCATATTAGGCAGACAGTCAGTTTTATCACATTCAATCAATCTAAATCTTTAAAGCATGGCTAAACATTTCAGAAAAAAAATTGAGAATTACATTCACATTTAATGTTGGATGTCTTCTTACAAAAACAATTAATAAAAAATCACTAACATGGCATCTAACACTTCCAAGAAATTTAATGACACTGTTGTCCTTTTAATTCTGCCTGTAATATTTATATGATGACTTTCATGTGATTACAATCTCCGATATTAATACCAATAATAATGTGAGGACCAGCCTCCTTAAAACAAGTAAATACTCTTAATAGGCATTTTACAAGGAAATCTGATCTATAAAACAATTCCTGCATTATAGTACTAGACAGAACACTTATGATAAATAATTTTCATACAGCTAAAATGGACTAGAATACTAGATGTATGATTTTTATATGGCAAATTTGGATTACAAAGGGTTAATAAAATGTACATCACTGAAATTTTGGGGAGACTTTTACCAGATAACAAAAAAATGCTTTCAGAATTTTTCAGAAATTCTTTTCAAAACTTAAAATTTTGATACATATAAATATTTTGCATATTTTAGATGACAAAGCTTTGACACAGAAAACATTAAGTGTACATTTAAATTTTTGATTACACAAAATATGCCAAAATTCACTTTTAATTTTTTAAAATTATTACTCTTTGGGGAAAAAAATTAAGACATTTAAAGTGAATCATCAGCAATTTGTAAAGAGAAACATACGTGCGGTCAAATTTGAAGGTTCGAAGAGACCCCAAGTTGTAAAAGTGTAACTGTCAACATTTAATTTTAAAACATTTTCAACTAAAACTGAAGCGGAGGTTGATCTTTACAATATGGTAACTGGTAGTTTGGCGACATTTTGGAGGCGATAAAGGTTACTACCTGGGACTTTGGTAATAATGTGAGCAGTACTCAGTTCCAATTACGCATTATTTTGCGTGAGGGAAATGAGAGATCATGGGATATGTCATGTGATATTAATGGACGAATTACGGTTCTTTAATCGGAAAAGGGGGGAAATTGGGGAAAAATGTGGAAATTTTGTATTTAGCTTTATTCTGTGTTGTGTGAAACAGTGTTGTTTAATTTTTGGATCCCATGGCCCTAACCAAAGTGAATTCAAAATGGGTATTTAGGCATTGTGATAAAGAGAAGTTTGCTTTTTATTTAGCGGAGGAAGTATAGGGAAAATTCGCAGAAAAAGAAAAAAAATCTTTCAGTAATTTTATTGAATGAATTAGAAAAGTGTATCCGCCACGTTATCAAGATTAGGTAAGTTAGTATTTTTTAATTATTTGAGGATATTATTTTTATGCATTGTTCTAAATGTAAGGTGGAAAGGAATTTGGTATTATTGGGAAAATTGTTATTAGCAATGATTTAGTTTAAAGTAATTAGGATTGTAAGGTAATTTTTATTAATTTAATGTATGTGCTCATTTATATTTTAAGTAGTGTTTTTGAATTTAATTATATTTTAATGAAATGATAGTTATTTTGTGAATTTTATGTTTGTAGGAATTTGGTATACATTTAAGTTGAAATAAACGTGCATGGAAATAATTTAAATATTTGGTACTAAGTATTTGTAATGCTTGCGGTATGAATTCATTGGTGACGTGTATAATGTAATAGATGATTTAGAGGTAAAAGTTTTTGGATATTTTATTTATTTTATATGTGGAAATGTTCATATTTGTAAAGGGTAAATACATTTTCGCGATCAGGTAATTTCATATATGTTCTTTTTACCGGGTTTAAAGATTGAGAAAATTGTCATGTATTTTCGTGAAATTTTTGTAATTTATGAGAAAAAAGCAGTGTACATGGATATAGTGAAGAGTGTGCGCAATGCCATTTTTGTGCAATTCTGGGATATTTTTTTAAGTAAAAATAAGTCGGCGTGTACATGGTTTATGTGTATGTGTTATTTTGAAAAAATGCGTAAGGAGAAATGGTATTGTGCAGTTTTTCCTAATTTTTGCAGTGAATATTTGTCATGATTAAGCAGTTTTTGTTTGATAAAATTTCTAGCATAAGTGTAATTCGGCTAGTAGATTGTTGGAAGAAGTGTTCAGGAGATAAAAAGAAAAGAAACATGTCTTTACTTCGTGAAGACAAAATGGCGGCGGGGAAAAAAAATAGAGGGTTGCTGTAGGAGAGTTGGTTGCCAAATTTTCGGCAAAAAATCGCCAAGTTACCATAATGTAAAGATCAACCGAAGCGGAATCACATTTGTAACATAAAAAAAATAATACTAGAACATAAAGTATTCCATGAAACTTATGTAAAGACACTTTCAAACAAATATTTAATTTACGAATTAAACAACACATAATGATTTGGAAAGGCAGACAGAATTTAAGTTCTTGCAAAACAGAGTGAAATTCAAATTACTTATATAATCTATAAATTAATTAAAATACTTTGTTAGTCATGGAATTGTTTGTATATTCATTAAAATACATTAATTTCATACATTCTAATGAATGACTGAATAGTACATGATTAATGTTGATATTTGATAAAAATATTTCATATCTAGGACAAAGTTATGTACATTTATAAATTCCATGAATAAATTCACATAATCAATGAATAATGGAATTTACAAAATTTTAACTTGCTCTGTATTAGTTGCAGAATAAAACTAATACATATATTTACCATAAATAAATAATTCTAGAAAAGCTAGGTTTATGCTATGTGATTTAGCAAAACTTAGAAATCCTTTAAACCATATTTTTACACGATTAAAAGCAGCGAAAGAATTTCACAACATTAATTTATGATTTCAATAACAAACAAATGTATGCAAACTAAACCATAAGTTACTGTCATATAACAGCATTTTAACATAGACTTTAGATAAAAAAAAAGTGCTTCTACTTATTTAGACAACTGAGTTGGCTGTTACATTTTATTCCAATAAAGCCTGTTATAATTTGGGTTACTTGCATAGTTTCATTCATTTATTAAGTACAATTTTTTTTTTTTTTAAATTTCACAGAATCGACCCAAAACTAAAGAGAAGCTTATTGCGAAAAATATGCCCAGTTCACAAGCTAGACATTTTGTCAAAGTAATAAATATCCTGCACTTACATACTTTACAAATGACATAATGTACAATTATGCTTTGCAGATGAAATAGTTTTTTACAGTAAAATATTTATTTTCTGGGAGAAAATCCAGAAAATACTGATTTAAAATAAAAATTTGCAGCACAATGAAGTGCCTTGTACAGTTTTTTTAAATAATAAATTTCTTATATAAACACTTTAAAAGTGTTGCAAAGCTCATTATAAAACTATAATAAATCTAAATATCACATATGTTAAGGAATCTTACCAATTGTAGGTAATGTATGAGAGTCAAGATTTGTAACATTCTCTCCGGCACTACTGGGGGCAGTTTTAGTTGCTGATACATTTAAATTAGGTTTTGCAGCAAGGCTAGCACGTACTGTTGCCATGCTACCACTACTGCTACCATCTTGCAGGTATATCTGATGAGAAGGCTCACTACTTCCAGCATTGCTAGCACTCTGTGGTGGGCGAGGTAAGCGGCGTCTCAGCCAACCATGCCTTAAGGCAGCAGGAGGTGTTAAGCGAGCCACTGGATCCCACTCAAGACAACGTTTTAGAAAATCTATGAAAAGCACATCATCACAACCACGTAAAGCACGAATCCAATCCTTACTTCCAGGTGGACCACGTAATTTACCCCGACGAGATCGTCCTCCACTGAGCACCAGTTTACCATCAGGCTGCACAGAAGCAGTACAGTAGCGAGGATAACCTTTAGAATTTATAAATGTTTTCGCACGTTTTGACTGCTCAAGCAACTTAGGAGATGGCATACCTAAAAGTTCTATCATACACGCCAGTTGATCACTTTCATCTTCACCTGGTAACAAAGGATAACCAGTTAGCAGTTCTGCTAATATGCAGCCTAAACTCCACATGTCAATTGGCATACCATATTTTGAGCCAAGAATAACTTCTGGAGCTCGGTAGAAACGAGACTGTATATAAGTATAAACTCTCTGATCTTCAAAACAGCTGGACCCAAAATCGATTACTTTAATACCACTGCGTCCTTGCTGTTTCAGCAAAACATTTTCAGGTTTTAAATCACAGTGAATTATTTTACTTCTATATAAGGCGTCTAAACACTGCAACAAGGAATGTGCAAACTTGCGAACCAGCTGCAAGCTAAATCCTTGAAATTTGTTTTTCTTTATAAGTTCATATAAATTAATGCTAAGAAGCTCAAAAGTAATACAAACATGATTACGGAATGTAAAATGTTCATACATGTGAACTATATTCATGGTGTTGTCTTTGTCTTGTTTCCGTAGATGGTCCAATATTCGTATCTCTTCTTGAGCTTGCCGGTAAAATCGTTTTTCATTGCGCACCATTTTTAAAGCAACATATTGATTATTTTTATGATCATAAGCTTTAATAACTTGTCCAAAACTACCTTTGCCAATTACTTTCAGCATTTCATACCTATACGATATCTGATCATGTGGAACATGAATGTAAGACCCTGTGCTGTCATCATAACCACAATTAGAAGGAATACCAATAGCACCCTGTCTTTTTTTAGCATTTGCACCAAGAAAATAAATATGAGAATACGAATAAATTTCTTGCTGCTCATAAGGCGACAATTTATGCATATATAATTTCATAACCTGATCGGGAGTAGCAACAAGAATTTTTGGTTTCGCAGAACAGCTTTTGTTGCTGGATAAGCTGTCCCCACTAGTTGCAGGACGGACTTCTGGTAACTGAGGAACGGCCTTCGACGAAGAATCGCTATGGTCCCTTTCATTTTCATATAAAATACGATTGGGTAAACCATTTTGACAAGCAGTTTTTAATCCTGCAACAGTTTGACTTTTAGTAGCTGGTAAGGATGTTTTGCTGCTTTTATCACCAATCTGAGGAAGGAATGACTCTTTAGAAGTAGAGCTTGGATTTCCATTAATGCTTGTAACAAGAGATTTAGTGCGAGGCAGAGGCATGTTAGTTAATTTTACTTCCGAAGACATTCTCTAAGCCTAAGTAAATTCCGTCATCTAAAATTTTTAAGCGAACTGAAAGGATCGAACGTAAAAAATGCGATTCAAAACCTCTTGAAGAATTCATGCCGTTCCGCATCCTTTTAATCGAGAATTTTTATAGCGATCTTTGCCGCACGCTAAAAACATCAATACATTCAGTTTCACTCAATGTGTTACCGACCGCATCAGACAACAGCATACTGCCTTCACTTCAGTTTCAAGAAACCGCTGTCAAAACGATTCAAGGCATTCTGCTACCGAAACTGAAACGGTATGATGTATGATTATTTTATCATACCTTAGTATGATTAGTTTAGTTTCGGATTTATATTAAAATAAATCCTTCAATAAAAGGAGGTTTTAATCAAAACATAGAATTATTTAACGAAATTTTGAATTAATATTTCAAAGCAGTGGGCATTTCTACCATAAAATTTAAAAACTTTAAGGGAAGTCTTAGAATGCGTATTATTTTTTAAGCGTAAATCACTTTTTAACGTATAACACGTAACAAGACAGAAGAATTGGAAAATGGCAATTTTCAAATTTTGAGGAAAGGAATAAAGGAAAGAAAAAAAAAAGAAAAGAAACAGAGAAGTATACACGTATAGAATGAAAGCAAAGGGTTAAAAAATATGATTAGACTGTAATCAAAATGCTGACCTGGGGCGTGTTCATGTAAAACTCTACGTAAAAAACTGCAAACTGCCCAGAATGTTGTTCTGCGGCACATTACAAACGCACCATAATATATTAGAAACAGTGTAATTCATGCGGAACTAAACATAATCCCACTGAGAAGATTTTACTACCATCTGGCCAAACAGTTTCACATTTATGTACAGGGTTATCCAAATTAAACTTCTCCAACTCAGAGGCCTGTGTAGAGTGTTGTATGGGTCATAATGTGATGAAATTTTAAAAACAGACACTTCAGATCATGCGCTCGAGATTTATTAAACAAAAAAAAAAAAAAAAAAAATTAGTACAATAAGTTGCCGATAGGTGGCGCAGCAGATCAACAAGACATTCTACAGATGTTCTATATGTGTTCCGTGGTTCTCAATAACTCTTTCAATTCTCAAAGCAGTGTGTTCCACAGCGGAACGCAGTAAGTCCACATTAATTCCACGAACATGTCGAATAATTGCGTCTTTCAGATGTGCCAAGGTTGCTGGGTGTTCTCAGTAGACCCGATCCATTAAGAATCCCCATAAACAAAAGTCACATGACATGAGATTAGGCGAGCGGGGAGGCCAAGCTGTAGGGAAACAGCGGCTGATCACACGTGCATCGGTAAAAGTTGCCCGTAACACCTGTTCAACGCCACGAAGAATATGGGGAGGTGCACCATCCTGCATAATTATCGTGTCCTGGAGGCGGCCACGTTGTTGCAGTTCAGGGATCACAAGCGTTTGCAACATGTCCTGATACCGTTTTCCTGTGACAGAGCAGGTTTTGAACCCTGTTGGAGTCATCTCTTCAAAAAAATAAGTCCCAATGACGAATGTTGCAGTGAAACCGCACCATACAGTAACCTTTGGAGGGTTCAAGGGCACTTGATGGATTGCGCGCGGGTTTTCACTTGCCCAAATGCAGCAGTTGTGCGTATTCACTTGACCATTCAGGTGAAAATGGACCTCATCCGTCTAAAGGATGTTCCATGGCCAAGCAGCATCGACTTCCATTCTGGCAAGGAACTGCAACGCAAATGTTTCCCGAACTACAGGATCCCTGTCGCACGGCTGATGACGACTACGGATTTCGTGAGGAAAATAACCGAGGATTCGACGCATCACACGCCAGACTATCGTATAGTATATATCGTATAGACTATATAGGGCATATCAACAGCACGAGAAACAGTTGGCACACTGACAACACCATGTGGTGATTGGCTAGTGGGGTCCACGACCGCCAAAGCAACGTCTTCTACGTACAGATTCCACAACCTGTCGTCCTCTACCTGGTAAAATTCCCAGCTGTCCCGTTCTTTCGAACTTCTTCATCATGTCTCGTAGAGCGCGTGGTGTCATTGGTCCTCGGCGTAAGATCTTCAGCCGACGGAATGCTCTTATCGCAGCACAGGAGTTCTCGTCATTCTGGTAGAAAAGTTTCACTAACAGAACTTTGTCTTTCAAAGTCGCCATTGTGCATGAGTGAGCTGGAAACAACTGCCTGTGCAAGGCCTGTCTTCCACTTTCGTACGGCTCGTCTTTTGGATACATTGCGCAGAAGCTTTATTTCTGCAAATCACGTTGCTGCAATATGCACATTACTAGTGTTACAGCGCCACCTATCGGCAACTTCTTGTACTAATTTTTTTTTTTGTGTAATAAATCTCGAGCGCATGATCTGAAGTGTCTTTTTTAAAAATTTCATCACATTATGACCCATACAACACTCTGCACAGGCCTCTGAGTTGGGAAAGTTTAATTTGGATAACCCTGTACTATAAGTAACTCTGAACTCAGAATTTATAATTACGGTTATAAGAACGATACTCTTAAAAAAACGCCAATGTCCTCTTTCAATCCAAATGTAATCTTGGAAGTCTGATTTTTATAATTTTTTTCTCATGTTATTCTGTACTCTTTTGTTTTTTTAAATTATGTATATTTATATTTAGATCTTGTGTGTATTGTATTTATTTGTTCACCGCTTGAGACCTACTGATGATTCAAAATTACTTTTATAACATAGATTCAGTTAGACAGCTTTGAGGCTTGAATTTATTGCGATTGAATCTCTTCAAATTTAAATTAAAAAAAATAAAAACTTACTATATCTCAAATAAGTTTATTTCTAAAATATTTCGAAACTTTCAACTATGTTCGAAATGGAGTAAGGCGTAAACCTAGGCACCCAGGTGTATCAAACACCGTTCCACAAGAAGGCGATGATTCAATTTCAGCACTACTTTGGCTTTTGGAAATATGTTATCTCGGCAAATTAAGAATTTGCATTGCATAATTTACAAGCAACCAAAAATCAAAGGTTAAGTAATAAATAACCAAATATCGTGGATTGGGTATGTAATACGTACAGGAAATTTATAATATTCCCCTCCCATTTTCTACACCCGGGTAAGAAGATTGCAAGTGATTCAAAAATGCTACACTTTTGTTGACATGCTTGCAGAGCCCTTCGTCGACTTCGTTACATTTTAATGATCTGAAAAATAATAAAAATTAGCCCAGACAAAAAAATCAAATACGCCATCTTGTAGAGAGAAAGATTCTCTTTCGAATAACATAAAACATTATGCGAATACATTTTATTTTTACCGCGTAATTTTAAACACAACATAAATGGCCATCACTTTTGTTTCAACCCAATAACTATTGTCAGAATTCCGCACAATGAAGAAATATCTAAAAATACATTCACTGTGACCAGAAACAGCTATCAGCCCCTTTTTCTAAGTTCTTATCCACCGCTGGCACTCCATTACGACTGTCTAAAAACAAAGTTGGTAAGATTTTGATCATTAAATTACGTATTGAAATTCGCAATCCAGGGACCCTGCATTTGAAGATGCCCCAAAATTATTTAATTAGTTTTGTAAAAATAATAAACAAACCCAGTAAATATGGAGTTCAGGTACTTATTCAATTCTTGACGGGAAAGTGCTATATTAGAATACATATGATTCTGGTTAGTTGCTATGTGGGATGTAAAAATAAGCGTATAAATGGGGAATTATTTGGGACGGTCGCTGCGCTGAAGAGTAACAATAGCGTCCGTCAATGGCATATTAGAAAACCAAATCGTGGCTTCATCATTTAATGAATTATCATGTTATTTATTATTTTACTTTTTATATTACATAGCCTAAAATCATTTACATGAACTTATAAAACACATGTAAGTTTATTTACAGGAGATTGATATATCTTTTTAAGAAATTACATAGGTGCTTACTTTTTCTCGTATATTATACAATAGGAGAATAAACATCAAAATGAGCAGAAAATTTAAAAAAAAAAATATTTTGGCAGGTTTTCCGGTATCAAGTGCACCTTCGTGCGTTTTGTATGTTAAGAGCAACGGACTAACTCAGATATTTTTTAATTACTTATTTAAAACTTTATTTGTCTGTGTTTTTAATTTCGAATGTTGTGAAATGAAATCTACGATTAATTTAAATAAGAAAAACAATGATTAAACTGATTGAATCGTACAAGTTTCTATTTTTTTAAACGGTGGACATAATGACATAATAAAACAGAGAATTCTCTGCTAAGATGCAACGTAAAATATGCAAATTAAAATAAAAAAATTAACAAAGCCATACCCTTTTTTTTTTTTTTTTTTTTTTTGTTTTTGTTTTCAGGGTGTCAATGTGCAAAGTTTAGAAGATGTATAAAGCAGAAGAAAAATAATTCGAACTCTGGGAAGCTGTTGAAACTAGTATTCGAACAGTCTGTAGTCACATATAAAGTTTAAAACAGAAAGCAAATGAGTACCCTCTTTCTGTGTCTATTTGTTCCAGTACGTGTAAACATACCCGCGTTACTGTTATTAAGGTGCTGATTCATTTTCCATATTTTGCTATAGCTATTTATTACGTCTTCTAAATTATTACTCAACATTTAGTTCTTTAAGCACGATATGAATTTCCTTCTCATTTGAAATGAAAGCATCCTTCGATGAATTTTCTTGATTCCAAATTACCTATATATAATTTCTTAAAATGCTCTATAAACAGGGCCAGGCCCACGCCAAGCCTAATCTGCGCCGTCGTGCAAATGTCTAGCGAGCGCTTTTTGCAGTGATGATATTAAAGGGCTTATGGTTAATATTTAAAATGAACCATTATTAACATAATATAAAAAAATTACGTTTTATCTTTTAATTTGTCTAAATATGCAAACATTTTGGGCTTTGTTAAAACCCCACACTCAAACATATTTATTGAAAAATTATACATACATTTATGTTATAAAAAGCCACCCAACCGAAGGCATGGATGTTTATAAATGTATAGTGTCCGTGCGGCATGGAGGTCACTCTAAATATGCGAGGCGAAAGTCCTCTCGAAAGTTTGGTGGTAGGGGAAGAGGGGTGGGAGACTCTCGGACCCGTCCCCCAGGGCACTCACGTTCCACGTCCCCGTTCTGGAGGGATGGTCAAAACATCTGCCATCAACAGCGCAGTGGCTAATCACACCCG